GGTAATTTTGGGGGGCGCCTGGGTAGCTCAGTCCGTTGGGCATCTGAATTCGGCTCAGGTCATGATCTCGCGGTTTGTAAGTTCGAGCCCTGCGTGGGGCTCTGTGCTGACGGCTCGGAGCCTCGAGCCTGTTTCGGATTCTGTGTCTCCCTCTCTCTCTGACCTTCCCCCATTCATGCTGTGTCTCTCTGCCTCAAAAATGAATAAATGGTAAAAAAAATAAATAAATAAAAGGGTAATTTGGGGGGCACCTGGGTGGCTCAGTCGGTTGAGGGTCTGACCACTCTGCTCCTGAGTTGGAGCCCCGCATGGGACTCTATGCTGACAGCTCAGAGCCTGGAGCCTGCTTCGGATTCTGTGTCTCCCTTTCTTCCCCTTCCCCACTCATGTTCTGTCTGTCTGTCTCTCTCAGGAATAAACTTTTTTTTTAAAGGTAATTTGGGGGAACTTCTAGGGAAAATTGAACTTATTACAAGGTACACATAGGAATACACGAATTTTGTTGGTTATTTAAAAAATTTAACATTTATATAGTTGACCATGCTTAAACTATCTCTGGAATCAGTTAACAATTGTATTATGTGCACGTATTAGGTGCATACATTACCTATTCACAAATATGTATAGCTGGCCAGATTTCCTATAAGCCTGTCTCAGAGAGTATTTTACCGGGATTTTGCTCTACGATTTAAGTCCAGAAAACTGCCATCTTTTCATCTTTGCCACCGGTTCTACAGGTGTCCCCCAGCATATGGGTTACACTTTTAAATGCATGAACGAAATAGAGTGGAAATAGCAACTAGATTGAGAGGAAGAACACTTGGGTTCTAGTCCTGAGTCTCACTAAGTAGTTGTGGCTGTGGGCAAGCTTTTTCAACTATTTTCCTGGGCTTCAGTTCCTTACGTGTTGGGTAAACATTTGCCTATTGGTTAGCCAGGGAGAGATTAAGAGGAGTACCAAGATAGACGGTGACACGGCGCCCCCTTCTCAGTTCTTTAGCACAAAGCAGCAGACCGCGGTGGTTCTAAGGGTCCGTGACGTTCTTGAGACTATTTGTCACTCCTCAGTCCGATTCCTGGAGTGGCGTTAGTTGGTGCTCAACCAATAAAGAATGACCGTATGAAGGAAGTGAACGAGAAATGGGCCAGGGGCTGCGCAATTATCTGGCGAATTCCTGCCAAAAATCACAAACATGCCGTCTTTTCCCTTATGTTTCAAAGCAATTGCCGGAGTGTGAACCTTGTATAGCTCGGAGGCGAAACCTTTCAGCGGCTGACCGCAGGGCAGAAAGAGAGAGAGTACGGAGTTAGCTCTCCCACCCGTCGCTGCGCGTGCGCGCGCTCGCCCCGCCCCTCACCACGCGCCAGCCCCGCCC